TGAATACAGGAGGAAAATTGAAGTCTATTTCTCTAACCGTGTGATACTACACAAAACTCAACAAGTGATTAATCTCCCCACTTCAACATGGCATTCCCTTTTGAAAAAACAATGTAATACACTGTAAAGTTATATGTAATCCAATGTAATATAAAGAAGATTATGATGATAATAAAAATAAAAAAAAGAATTTAAAAATGAAAAAACAAACAAATAGAAAAAAACCTATCTTTGATTACAATGTTCTCAGCATGTTAGGAATGTAATAAAATTTCTTTAACATGGTTAGCAAAAAAAAAAAAAAACTCAACAAGCGATAGTATGTTGCAATTTAGTTCCAGTGCACAATACGAAACTTCACTACGACTCCTTTAGTCATACTGGACTATTTAGAATCCGTTGGTCTATTTTTTGCACTATTCCTGAATCTTTTATCTATACAAGATGTGAAACATACATTGGTCACTTGGACACATTTGTTTATTGGATTCTCTAGGTCTTCATTAGATTCTCGAGGTAGTCTAAATGTTGACATATTTCATTATTAAATATATTTTTAAATTACGCTATTTAACATGATAGCACATATGTATACATATGAGAGAAGCAGAGACACAGAGAAAGAAATCATTCACAAGAAAGTTTCTCTGTACCAAGATCCTTTTTTCCCCAGTTCTCTAGCTCCTCAGGATCCAGGAGGGCTGACGTGTGTGTGTTTTCAGTCCATCCTGGGGATATGAACCCATGCTCGGCCATGTGTTTTCTAGCACTGCAGAGTACTGTGTTTCTGCTGTGCCATAATAAACGGGCTGGGGGCGGGAGAGCAGGAGGAGGATTACATTTTTTAAGTATTAACATTGAGCTCAGAAAAGTCTATGTACTTATGCACTATGTACTGAAGTAGATGTACTTATAGTGGCAGGTACAGATTTTCTCAAGTTCTGATTTTTCTTGAAAGCAGTTGTTTTCCTTAAAATAACAGGCTTATTTTGTTCATTTTTGAGAAAGTGGCTACTAAATACCCAAGTCCACATTTTGAGAACAGCTGCTCTAGAGTAACAGCATACTATAAAGCATGGTATGCCCAGGTTACTTTTGTTTCTGCAAATTGAGTTATAAACATATCTAGAGTCAGTTGTTTTTATTCCTAAAGCATTTTACGACTAGTCTAATTATTATTTTAATTAGGTGAGTTAATGAAATATTTATGGGCTGCTGAAATACAAGTGAGTAAAGAAACTCAGTGTTTCTGTGATAATTAAGTTGAATCCTTCAAAGAGGATTTATAAAAGAGAGTTATTAAAAACGATTACTGCTGAATTAAATGTCGAAGCAGCAACTATAAAAAAATAGAAAAGGGTACTAAAATCTAATCCATTCAGATTGTTTCTCAAGTCTAAGAAAATTGTTCCACAATAGATAGTAAAACTGGAAGTAAGAGATGATTTCCTATAAGTCTGGTATATGCCAGAAAGAGGACACTAAATTGTAATCAACAGACCCTTCGTTCAAGAGCAAAGGCTTTATTCTACTATCAAAACGTTGGCTATTGAGAGGCTACTTATTTATTTTTAGTTAGAAAATAAAATTTTCAGCCATCTGTCTGTTTTACAATTCCCACCTTTAATTTTTTTTGACCAAAGATTTACTCCTTTTTCTTGATTTTATCGGGTAAGTAATAAAATAATTTGGGATTAGTATTTGAAATGGTCTCCATCTGGACGATTGCAGGGTAAAAGGAGAGAACAGAACAAAAGTCATATTAAGCTCTAAGCTTTATTTGAGAGTTGTGGTTATTGACTAAATTGAGGCTGCAATAAAAAAGCTTTAATGCACATTTATTTATTTATTTATTTATTTATTTTTATATAAGGTGACCGCTGGAAGATTAAACATATATTTATGGGGGGCCAACAGGTGGCATGGTAGTTAAGTGTTGGACTCCCACATGTTGTCCGTAGTTCAAGTCCCTGACCCATCCTCTTGAGGATCACAGCCAGCGAGTGTGAATGCATGCCCAAAATCCCGAGAGGAGAATGGAGGAGAAGGGATTACAGCATGGCCATCCCTCCTCAGGGATGGTTTCTCACTTTCCCTCCCTCTCTCTGTCTCTCTCCAGAAAGTCCATGCACCCTGTAGCAAAAATCTAATATATACAGATAGAGATATATAGATATAGGTACACACACACAGACATTTATAATTCTTGAGTATATAAAAATAAATAAATTTAAAAAACTCAATCCTAACAAATGAAGGAAAATGATTTAAAAGAAAACAAAAGATAGTTAATGTAAACCTAAGATAATAGCAGGCAATATCATCATGAATCAAATGGTTCAAGTTTTCTAAAAAAGGCACATCGTTCAAAACAAGTTCAAAGAAATGTAGATATAGGCTAGAGACACACCAAAATAAAATGATCTCATGTATAACAGAAATGTTGTGTGTGTATATATATATGTGTCTGTGTGTGTGTGGGTGTGTGTGTGTGTGTGCGTGTGTGTGTGTGTGGGTGTGTGTGTGTGTGTGCGTGTGTGTGTGTGTGGGTGTGTGTGTGTGTGTGCGTGTGTGTGTGTGTGGGTGTGTGTGTGTGTGTGCGTGTGTGTGTGTGTGGGTGTGTGTGTGTGTGTGCGTGTGTGTGTGTGTGGGTGTGTGTGTGTGTGTGCGTGTGTGTGTGTGTGGGTGTGTGTGTGTGTGTGCGTGTGTGTGTGTGTGGGTGTGTGTACCCATTTATTTTAGCCTAAAAAGAAAATGCAATAGACTCTTTTGATAATTGTTATTCCAAAACAAGAGCAAGGGGAGAATATTTTCATCTATTTTAGCACAATTGGATGTTTTTCCATGAGAATCTATTGCTATAATTTAATTGTAGAAAGGAAAAATTTTAGAAGAAAAAGACACTTCCAAAAGCTGACAATTACTCAAAATTTAAACATTATGGTCCTAGAACCCATCACACACACATGCATATGCACACACACACAGTAAGTCAATGATAAGTAAAGAATAAGGATTTAGTTTTAGGAAACGGTAGGACAGGCAGATGGAGCAAAGAAAACTGTAGGCCATCTACTCATATTTAATTTTCGAATAAAAACTATCACTTTCAGTGTAAGTATGTCTTGAATACAGCATGAGACGTACTTACACTAAAATAGTTCTGTTTGTTCATTGTTTTCTTGACCATTATGTATTCTACCTGGCAACCCCATGAGTTCAAGAAATCCAGTAGTAGCCATATGTGAGGTCCATCTCATTGATGTGGGGGTCCGGGGTTCAGACTTCAATACATTGAGGGAAGGAATCTTAGAGAACAAGGCAGCTCATATTCTTCAGTTGGTTCCCAGGGCAGGAAAAGGAAACAGAACTCTAAGTGTGGAAGAAGGAGTTGGGATGGAGGGAACTAACAGGAGAGGAACTTGAAAGCATGTGATAGATCTTAAGGGTAGCACTTGGAGCAAAACTTTGATAAGAAGGAATCAGTAACTCCGAGGACAAGTCAAAGGACGCAAGGGCCATCCCATATGTACAGACTAGCAGTGAAAACTACTCAGGGAACTATTTTGGAGCCTTATTGATAATCCTGGGACAAGAATCTAGACTAAACCAGTAGTAGTGACGGTACTAGGTAAACAGTGCATGTTTGAGTGGATAGATATTGAGTTTTCTTAAGCATTAAAAAAAGAAGTTGTCAGAATAAAATTATTTACAGAGAATTTAGTGGGTATTAACAGAGTAATGTTCTGTTTGTCTGACATTGTGGAAAATAGGTTGTCCCAAATACATAGTGAATTTTCCAGATAAAATGAAATTATTACCTTAAGGGCCACTAACTTCTAATCTGATTTTTTTTCCCTGAAATCCTTTATGAATTTAAGCAAGATCCTTGAAACAAAATGAATTCATGTAGCTCACCTTTTGTTAATGTCTAAGTCACCAGAGATACACAAATTTAAAGCTTTACAGGAGACCATCTAGCAGAAGCCCTTCATTTCACAGGCTCGGATTGTGTTTAAAATGACATGTTGCAAAACACAAATTCATAGTGTTCATCATTTCATGTGCTCCCAACAAATAAGTACATAAAAAAGAGGAAGAGGGAAAACAAAGAGAAAATAAAATTACACCATTAGGAGTTTTGAAATATGGAGTTTTTGTTTTGTTTTGTTTTGTTTTTACTGGTTGATACTCTTGTCAACTCCTTGATATAGACATTAATATTGTAACTCTAAAGAGGAAAATATTGAGTATTAGCTAGTTTTCTTTAACTGGCCTGTATAAGGTCATAAAGATGGTAAGTCTGTCTGTAAGTGCCCATGACATTTCCACCACACTGCTCTACTTTTTTGATACAGTGGTCCTAACATAAACATTATGGCATCAATTAGATCTCCCAGAAGCATGCTACCCTCAGTTTTGAGATGTCTGGGTAAAACTAACTTTGAATGTAATGTGTTTTTTTTGTTGTTATTTATTATGATCATTCTAAAGGTATCTAATCATTTTCTAATTTATGAATGCATCTGAAAAAAATATATCTAGATATTCATCCCCCCTTTATTATTCATTATATAAAGGCACACACACTCACGGTTTACTTTTACCAGACTAAGTTCTTTTCTTTTTTTTTTTTTTTTTTGAGAGGTTTTCTCTATAGGGCACGTGCGCTCGCCAGACAGACTGAGAGAGACATAGAGACAGAAAGCGAGACATCACCCCCCAGGGGAGATGGTCACGCCGCAATCCCTTCTCCTCCATTCTCCTCTCGGGATCTTGGGCACGCACACACACGCGCCTTCCGTGAGTCTTAAGCCACCCGCGGTCAGCTACGTGGGAGTCCAGCGACATAGCCATTACGCTAACTGCTGGTTCCCCAGACTAAGTTCTAAAGATAAAAAGAAATGAAATACACACACACACACACACACACATACACACACTTGGGTATTATGGAAGGAAGTGATTTTGTTTGTTTTGTTTTGTTTTTCCTCCTTCAGTGATTACTGTTTGGGGAGCCACAAAATATTTCAGAAAGATAAATCCGTTATTCAACTTCATCTGCAGAAAAAGAGAGACATCCCAGGAAAGTTATCTAGAAAGGTAAGACTTTCTTAGCATTGATTTCAGTGAACAAAATGACAGTTTTAAGGACAATGCTTCTATTTTAACGGAATGTTGCTGATTTGGAATTTATAGCTTAATGAATACATTCTTATTTGAGTATGTTTATTGAAACACGATGAACAGTTTGACCTAAATATCAGTTAACAATGTAGACTAGAGCAATAACAGAACACATGACTGCAACCTGGTGGTATGGACCCAATGTTTATGTACCTCCTAAGCTTAGGTTTAGACAAGGTCATGAGAGCAGGACCCATGAGATGAGATTCATGTCCTTAGGAGGGACCACAGAGCTCGCTCGCTCTCATTTTTTTTTCCCTTTTTTGTCACTTTGAGAAAGGCGTAAGAAGGCAGCTGTCTGCGCTTTGTGGAGAGGGCCTTCACCCTGATCTTGAGCTTCCAGCCTCCAGAATTATAAGAAATATGTGTCCGTTGTTACATTACCCAGTCTATGGCAGTTTGTCATAGCAGCGCAAACTGACTAATATACTCAGTATAATAACAAATCAATTGATCTCGAGAACTCATTTTTGCAATACTTGTTAAGGTCTTAATATCTCTACTTTTATTTGCATCCCCTTAATAGTGAATGGAATAGAAAATGTGAAGGGCACACCTCTGAAGGCAGAAAAATAACACAACTTGTGTTCTATTTGAAGACTGTTTATATCGGTGTTGACACAGCTTAAATCAGGACAGATTAATATTCATAATATACATAATAAAACCACCCAGAAAGAAATTGTTGTTACTTTAATGACACAATTTCATGCTGTTAGATGTGAATTTTAGTCCATGCATGATGTCTTCAGTCACTTCCAATCCAAATTGCACAGTATGCAGTGAACTTTGATATTTTGGCAGTTTTTATCTGTAGAATCTTCCAATTATCTGCTTTAAGCAAAAGTCCCATCACCCTGTCATTTACATCAGATAACAGATTTTCAGTGCATGATTCTCTTTTTCCCCCTGGTATGAGGTGTTTCATCATAAAAATTGTCAGGTGGTGCATTAGCTTGCAATACAGCAACGTGGAACATAACATAATGAGGCCAAAAGAGAGTTGTTTAGAAAATCTTTCGATCTCATTTCCAACTCAGTTGCCATTGACAGCTCCAGGGCTATGCATCTGAACTCTCCACAAAGAAACTTTACATTACAAATGGCAATGAATGCCTTCCATATTAAGAAACTTAAGATTCTCCCACTTTCCTTCAATATTGAGAAAAAAAAAAAACTGAAATCATTGTATCTCTTTGCAACACGGAAGAAGAGAAAATATATAGCTCTAATTTGCATATTTCTAGAAAAAAGGTGGTCTTTTCGGTAGTAATTCACAAATCACCGAGATTTCAGTTCCATATAAATTAAGGTTTATTTTAAATTCTATATGACTCTACTACTATGATATAATATGTATAGGGTATATATTTTATGTCAGAGACTTTAACATTTCTATCACATTTAATCATCACAACAATTCTAGGAGACAAACACTATTAAAAATCAGGAAACTAAATCACAGGGAAGTGTCATGACTTCCCCGAGATTATAATCATGGAACTGGAGAGCAGCAGAAGTTGGACTTGAGCCCAGTCTTGAGTCTTCAGAGCCCATACATTATGCTATCAACCTGTGTGGGAAACTCGCTTAGAATTTACAGGTTACTCTCAAAAAAGTTTTGAATGTGAGTGCCAATGATATAGGTCAAAATTCTAGCACTCAGGACCAGCAGTTAGCGTAATGGCTATGTCGCTGAACTCCCATGTAACTGACAGCGGTTTGAGTCCCAGACCTAGTGGCTTAAACTCACACTGGGTGTGTATGAGTGTGTGCCCAAGATCCTGAGAGAAGAATGGAGGAGAAGGGATTGCGGCGTGGCCATCCCCCCGGGGGTGATTTCTCACTTTGTGTCTCTCTCTGTCTTTCTGGCAAGCGCATGAGGCCTATAGTGAAAACCACCCCCCCCCCCAAAAAAAATCTAGTACTTGCATACTCTCTCTCTCTCTCCATATATATATACACACACACACACACACACACACATATATATATATATATATATACACATACATATATGCACACACACACACATATAACTTGCAAGTTTTTTGTTAGTCTTTCACAGGCATATCCGTATAGCTCAAAGTTCAGGATATGTTAAGTGTTTAATAACACTTATTAACACTTTATACATATTTTGTGTATATGAGGAAAATTCAAAAAAGTTCACGGAGGGCTGGGCCATGGCTCAATGGTTAAAGGACCTGGATCCCACATGGCAGACCACAGTTGAAACCTGACCCTGGTGGTTGGAAAAGCACATTGCCATATTGTGTATGTGTGTGTGTGTGTGTGTGTGTGTGTGTGTATTTAAACTTCTGACAAACAAAATGGAATGGAGGAAAAAGAATTATGTATTGACCATTCCCCTTTGGGGGGGACACTTTCATGCTCTCTTTCCCATATGTACCCTCTGGTAACTACAAAATAATTAATGTATGACTATTTTCGGTGCACAACCATTTTTAAATCTATGCATAGTTTTTTCATAATCATTTTTCATGAACTTTTTTAAGACCTTTTGTTTTAGGTTCCAGGTACTGGTTCTCAGTGCTTTAAATGCATTAATTCACAATATCCTGAGAGCAAAGAAAGTGATGAATACTACTTCTTTTCATCTTATGTAAATAAAAGTACTGAAAAATAAGTGTGTAATTAAGTGGGCCAAAATCTCACAATAAAGGAGATGGAATTTGTGCAAAAATAGTCTAGCCACAAAACTTCCTTTATTATAATTCCAACCAATGCAGTATCTTTGAGTTGTCATAACCATGATGTCATCATGTCCAGAGACAAGCACACAGTCATCTTTGGGTGTCTAGTGTGTATTTGCCACCAGAAATGCATGTTTCTCCATGTCATTTGGAGCATAGAGGACAGTAAGTTATATGTTTCTTTTTCATGTGTCATGATTCAACTCATGAACCTTTACCTACTACAATAAATATCACCAACTCGTGGCTAATTTAACAAGTTTTAGCAAAGGATATAAATGCCTTTTCTCATCCATAAATCTTTTTACCACTGACACTTATTTAAATTGCTGTGCTGGAGGCAAAGTATTTTATTCATTCTATAAGTATTTTCTATTTTTTCTTTTTTTTTTCTTTTTTAGAGAGAGAGAGTTTTTTGCTATAGTGTGCATGTACTCATCAGAGAGAGAGACAGAAAGCTAGAAATCATCTCCCAAGGGGGAAGGCCATGCCACAATCCCTTCTCCTTCATTCTCCTCTCAGGATTTTGAGCATGCATGCACACATACCTGGTATGAGTTTCAAGCCCTTGGGTCCTAGACTCAAACCATGATTAGCTACATGGGAGTCCAGTGTCATAATCATTATGCCATCTGCTACTGCTATCTATAAGTATTTTCGATGTAAATGTTCTAGGACCTCTACTACTGAGAGCCAGAATGGTGAACAAAGTCAACAAGATCTCTGCCATCGGGAAGCATAGTGTCCAGGGGATTCCATGGATACTGACCCAATTAAGGAGGAATAGTAACTTCTACACAGAATATAAGAAAGACGTTCCATGTCCCCATATTTCCAAATCCTAATCAGCTAAAAAGCTGTTTAGCATCACATTCTAAAGAAAAGCATATTACAATTTCATTTTTTTTTTTTGGTTATAGAGTGCGTGTGTTTGCCAGAGAGAAAGAATGTGAGAAATCACTCCTCAGGGAGACAGACACACCACCAGCCCTTCTCTTCCAGTCTCCTCTCAAGATTTTGGGCATGCATGGAACTCAGTGCGATTTTTTTTTTTTTTTTGGAGAGGTTTTTGCTATAAGGTGCATGCTCTCGCCAGAAAGACAGAGAGAGACAGAGAGATAGAAAGCGAGAAGTCACCCCCCCCGGGGGGAGGGATGGCCACACTGCAATCCTTTCTCCTCCATTCTCCTCTTGGGATCTTGGGCACACATGCACACGCACCTGGCATGAGTTTAAGCCACCAGGTCCGGGACTAGACCTACAGTCAACTACATGGGAGTTCAGTGACATAGCCATTACGCTAACTGCTGGTCTCAACCCAATGTGATTTTTAAGCCACAGGGTCCAGAACTCCAATCATGCAACCAGCCATGTGGGATCCAGCACTTTAACCTCTATGCCACCTGCTGGCCCACATTTTATTAAAATTTATAAGGATTGGGACCAGCAGATGGCATAATGGTTAGGTTGCTGGACTCCCAAATAATCGACCACAGTTTGAGTCCCCAACCCAGAGGATTAAAACTCACTCCAGGAGTGTGTGCATGTGTGTCCAAAATCCTGAAAGGAAAATGGAGAAGAAGGGATTGCAGCATAGCTATCTCCCCAGGGGACGTGTGTGTGTGTGTGTGTGTGTGTGTGTATTTAAACTTCTGACAAACAAAATGGAATGGAGGAAAAAGAATTATGTATTGACCATTCCCCTTTGGGGGGGACACTTTCATGCTCTCTTTCCCATATGTACCCTCTGGTAACTACAAAATAATTAATGTATGACTATTTTCGGTGCACAACCATTTTTAAATCTATGCATAGTTTTTTCATAATCATTTTTCATGAACTTTTTTAAGACCTTTTGTTTTAGGTTCCAGGTACTGGTTCTCAGTGCTTTAAATGCATTAATTCACAATATCCTGAGAGCAAAGAAAGTGATGAATACTACTTCTTTTCATCTTATGTAAATAAAAGTACTGAAAAATAAGTGTGTAATTAAGTGGGCCAAAATCTCACAATAAAGGAGATGGAATTTGTGCAAAAATAGTCTAGCCACAAAACTTCCTTTATTATAATTCCAACCAATGCAGTATCTTTGAGTTGTCATAACCATGATGTCATCATGTCCAGAGACAAGCACACAGTCATCTTTGGGTGTCTAGTGTGTATTTGCCACCAGAAATGCATGTTTCTCCATGTCATTTG